CAGTTGTGTAAGAAAGTAGACTGAGCAAGCCATGGAAGCATCATCTCTCCGCGGTCTCTGCTGAATTCAGTTCCTGCCCTGACTTCTTCCTTCAGTGGTGGGCTGTGATGTGGGCGTGCAAGGGAGACAAACCCTTTCTTCCTCCCACAAAAAAGGAAGCGAGTGGGGTTTGTAAAGCGCCAGCGTAGCGTGACTGCCTAGTGACGCACACAGAGGTGGCCTCAGGAAATGTTGGTGGGATCTGGATGGCATGCCCAAGGGCACAACAAAGGGGTCCTGCCTCAGCTGACCAAAGCGTCCACTGCTGTGCATTTCTCCCCCTCTTCTGCATCATTAGAGATGTCGACGTCGCCTGTAGTGAGTCGGTTCTGCACGTTAGCATCTGAGGCTCACTTCTGACGTGCTCACAGGGCTTCCTTGTGTGGCTATTTTATGTGTGAGCATCCTGCTTGCCATGCATCCTGTCATATACTCTGCCCTGGAGCTTTTGGAGGCACACCCTTATTGTCTCTGTTGTCCAGGGAGGAGGGTTCTACCAAGTAAGCCTCTGGGACAGCCCTTGGATCTGGCCCTGTAGCAGTGGAGAACCTGTCTACACGGGATCTCACGCAGACGTGCATGGCGTGCCCCCCACCCATTGGATCACAAAGCAGCTGAACCACGCAGTAACACGGGACCTGTCTTGACTACCGTACCTCAGGAATTCCCGTCTTGAGTGCAGCGCCTAATGAAGGTCCGTGTCCCTCTCCGCTTCTCAAGATGCCATTATGGTGGAAGAGAAGCGCTACCCTTCATTTCGTGCTCACTGGGACCCGAGAGTCATGGTGCCCCTCTCTTGCCTTCCCTTTGCAGGCGTGCAGAACAAGCTACATTCTCTGTTCTTTGGTGGGGCTGTGCTTGGCTGAGCAGCATCTTTGAGTACGATGTCCCTGGGTTGTGGTGGCAAACAGGGACAGGTGGCGGCAGGGACAGAGTGACAATGGGGTTAACCCTGAGGGTAGTTACAAAGATACGGAGAATTTGTCATTTATTAGTATCATGGATTTACTTTAATGGGTCTTATTCTCAAAATTCACATGACAGCTGCGTTAGTGGATAAGCCTCTGACCTCACACTGGAGAGAGAGAGAAACAGGGGAATCACCACAAAGTCAAAGCCAGCCTGGACTACACAGAGAGACCTCATTTTAAGAATGTAACCCTTCCTCCTCCCTCAAGTCACCATACCCATGTGTGTGCAATTACACCAATGAGTCTGCTTCCGATTGCAAATATTTTGAGACTTGAGTCAAGTCTTTCACAAGTCTGGAAAGGAAGAAGGGCAAACTCTGTGCTCAGGATTTAACCTCTGGCCTTCACTCCTCCACAATCTCTGGGGATTATGAGGATGCTGGCCCTGTGAGGTCTCTATCCCTCTCTGGGGTGATTTCGGTAAGAACAGAGGACTGGGACTTCTCCTGCATGTCTACGCCCAGGTTCTGCACAGTCCAGTTTTGGGATGCTATATACTCTGTATGAGCCAGGCCAAGTATCAGACAGAAGATGGCTCCCATAGCTCAGTTACATCCCAGGCACTGACAGCCAGCATCACCAAACTGTTCCAAGCATCACAAGACCAAGCGGCCTTCCAGTAACACTAGAAGTGTGTGTCTAGTCTGGGGAGTGAGGTGGGTGTGCTGGTGTAATTCCTTGGCCTTGCGGATCATGGCACCTGGCTAAACCAACTGCAATGTGTCTATTGTCTCTTCCCCGAGACCTCGCCTTACTAATTCGGGTGTGACAGTTAAGATTGGTAGTCACTTGACATGCCTAGAAGGAAGATCTCTCAGTTGATGATTTGCCTCTGCTGCACTGGCCTGTGGGCACATCTTTGGGACTTTTTCCCCCTAATATAGGAGATATAGGAGAGCCACTGTGGATGGTACCATCCCTAGGCAGGCAGCCTGGGCTGTGTAAGAAAGGGAGATGACTATGAACCCGGAAGCAAGCAGCATTCTACCATGGCCTGTTCTTAGTTTCTGCCTCCAGGTCTCTGCCTTGTGATCCTGGTGTGGCTTCCCTGGATGACATGAGCTAAAATACACTTTCCTCCTTCAGGCTTCTTTTGTTCAGTGTTTTACCACAGCTGCAGAGATGGAACCAGAGCAGTGTGCAGCCGAGATGTCAGCCACCACCTCCTGCAAGCAAGCCTTCTTCCTTGGAAAATTCTTCAACAGTCTCCGGCCTCCACCATACTCCATAATTGTGACCTTCTAACGGTTGCCATGGAAATAATTTCTGGATTATAAATAATGACAATGTGAGTTTCCTAGTTACCAAGTATGTTTGTAAAACGAATTCCAAAGGTACATGACATTTAATTCCAGCCTATTTTTAGAAACCAAAGGATAATAAATGGAAATATTTTTAAGGAAGAAAACCTGAACTGTTACCCAAATCTCATCAGAGAGAAGTAGATCTATATTGCTACTGGAAAAAATAAGAGTTTTAGTAACACGCTCTCCTTGAGGCTCTGAGGAAAGCACTAAGAGAAATGTAGAGTTCAGAGTTAAACTGCAATGATCACTTATCAAAATGAGCTACTATAATGCTAAACACCATGGAAATAAGGACTAGACCAACACCCCCAATTCTTGTCAGGTATGTGGATGGAAAGGGCCACTAAGCCTTCTATTTTGCAAAATCTTTTTATTTACGAAAATCACTACTACTCTTGAAAATAAAGGATTAACCCTACTTAGTTTAGGCAGAAAATAAACCTAGGATTCATTCCGAGGGACAACATCACAAATGAAAATCTATTAGAAAGACTTTAACTGAATTTCTAATTGATTTTTTTTACAAAGATACAAGAAGAGCGGTTCAAAGAAGACAAAGACAGGGAAACAGTGATTTTTTCATCTAGTTTATCATCTTGTCCTTTCTGAGCACAGTTTCAGGACATGCTTCAAAGACGTCGATACATAATTATCCTTTTGACTTAGCTACAATATCTCAAAACTGGAGAGTTTTCTCTTCTCTGAAACTTAGGTGGGGTGTGTATGCATGGCGTATGCACACCTGTGGTGGGGAGAGGTGCATGTGTGTGAGCATGGAGGCCAGAGGAGCCTGGTGTGTGCACACCTGGGGTGTGTGTGTGTGTGAGCATGGAGACCAGAGGAGCCTGGTGTGTACACGCACACCTGGGGTATGTGTGTGTGTGTGTGTGTGTGTGTGTGTGTGTGTGTGTGTGTGTGAGCATGGAGGCCAGAGGAGCCACTGGATGTTTCCACTCCCCAGCTTGTCATTTAGAGGGGAAGTTTCTCACTGAGAGCAGCACTTATATGCGGAAAGATTGGCTGGCCTAAGAGCTCCGTGGATTCTTTTCCGCCAGCTCTGGGATTGCAGGCGCACATCACCACACCTGACTTCCCTTATGTGGTTTCTAGGAATCCAAATTCAGGTCAGCATGTCCATGTAGCCGGCACTTTCCTGAGCCACCTCCCTGTCCCTCTGAACTTTCAGGGGAGCACAGTGGGGCACCAGGGACTGGACAGAAGGCTCGCTTATGCTAACTACTCACTCTAGCATGAAGTCCTATCCTAAACCCTCCTCTTACTTTTGAGACAAGGGCTTGCTAAATTGCTCAGTTTGGCCTTGAATGTGCTTCACACCCAGGTATGATTTGAGCTTGAACCTTCCTGCCTCAGCCTCCTGAGTAGCTGCTTTATACATGGGGGAGGGAAGGAGGGCCACCAGTCTAGGCTTATTTTCTGAATCTTAAGTCTAGTCCCCGCTCATTTTAGCCATTGCAACTGAAGAACCTGGTAACGTTAGGCTCTTTCTTTGTATACATTGAGTGGATTACATATTACACACTCGCCATTCATTTTAATTTGATTTCAACAAATCTTTGTTCACACTGAATTTGTTTGCTATACTGCTGCAGCCAGGGACTACCAACGTGATAATGCAAAACAATGCAAGCATATTTCTATAAATCTGAGGTCCAAATGGTGTCCACGGCGCAGCCTGGGCTGCATTCGTTTTGAGGGCTCTGGGGGTGGGGTGGAGTCCAGCTTCTTCCCCTCTCACCTCTTCCCTGGCTTCTCATCGTCTCCTCAGTCACAGGCAACAACAGTTCACCAGGCCTTTTCATGCCGAGTCTCTGACCTTGCTCATTCCACTTTTCTCCTCCTATCCTCCTTTCTGCCTCCCTCATCCTCTTAAACCAGCCAGTGTGATTACATTGGTCCCACCTGGGTGGCCCAGCATGATCCCCCCATCTGGGCATCCCTAACTCCACCACACGCAAAGTCTATTTGGCCAAAAAGGTAGCCTGCATACATCCTGGGGATTAGAAGGCAGGCGTCCTTGGAGAGTGGAACAAGTATTATTCTCATCACATATGTGTTCTAGTTCCCCCAGAAAATGGACTTTTGAGTATCTACTCGACCTCAGTAGAGATCTGAGCATAGAAGGACAGGTCACACCGGGAAATCATGGATTGTGTGTTGAGAGCCATAATCAAGACACCACCATCCAAGTCCCCAGGAAACAAGCAGCTTTGTGTTCTCCCCTCTGCCAAGATGAAGGCCTTACAGGCTGTGTGCAGAGGTCACCGCACCACCACCACCGCTCTCCTCCTGACGCTCACCGTTGGGTCTAGTGAAGGGCTAAAAGACTCCCGATGCTCTCCGTGACAAACCACCGCTGTCTTCGGTCCCTTCTCTCATATCCCACCTCCCCCTTCTTAATCACTTGTATTTTCCAGACTTCCTCTCCAGCAGCCTCTCTGGGTCACACAGCAAATGCAGAGGCATGTTGGATGAGGTGCTGAGTGAAGACTGTCTGCTCTCACGGAGTCTGTGTGTGCACTGGGCAAAGCCCCCATTGGCTGGAGCTCAAGCTCCTCCTTTTCCTTCCTCTCCTTTATAAACTAACTCTTTGTCCCTTTCCTCTGCATCCATGGGGAATCATGGTGTTCTGAAATTAAAAGGCATTATCAACGGAGTCTAATAATGGCGTGCAGTAATTTAATGAATAGCAGGCAAGTCATTATCCAAATTACATCCTAATATGAACTTCACAGCCAGGCATAGACTCACATACATTCATGATGATGCTAGTCTGATGAACTCTGCCTCCAGATGGTGATGGCTCCCAATGGTTTGCTCTCCTGTCTACAGAAAGCTGCGTCTCGGGCAAGGCTTCAGAGGCTTGAGATAGAGTCGGATAGACCTAGGAGGTAAAAGTTAATGAGAAGAGCATCGTCAACTTTTAAGAATTTGAATAAAACAAAGTCAATTAGCAACTTTCCTGTAGCCCCTGCTATCAACGGAAATGGAGCCATCCTTTTGCATCAGGGTAGAGGCGCATCCAGTCTATAAATTGTCAAGATATGATACGCCACCCCACCTATATCACCCCAGACTTCAGGAGGCTGCCGTGTGCTAAGCCACTCCCAAACCAGAAGGGACTGGAGGACAAACTGGTTTTTAGGATGTTCTCTTAAATTCCAATGGGTATAAGAGGGCCTAGTCCACTGTCAACAGTGTCATCCTTAGGTAAGTGGGGTTGATCTGTATGTTAAAAACCAGCGGAACGTGATTCCTGAAGCTACCTGGTATAAACCTTCCTCCATGGCCACCACTTCAGTTCCTGTCTCCAGACCCCTGCCTTGAGTTCCTGCCCTGACTTCTCTTGATGGAATTGTGATCTGCGAAATGAAATAAACCCTTTCCTCCCCAGGTTGGTTTTGGTCCGTGTATAACCACAGCAATACAAGTCCCAGCTAGTACAGTCTTTATTTTAAAAAGTCACTGCAATCACCGATGAGAGGTTTTTTTTTTCTTCCTTCCACTCAAAATATGTATGTTTCAATTAGAAGGGAGAAGGGGACAACACTAGGGTAAGATAGGGGGAGATAACAGTGGACTGTGTCATCAAAACCCATTGTGCAAATATATGACACTTCAACAAATGAATACTATATGTTTTAAGTAAATGTATTTTTCTGTTGTATGTGACTAAGTATTTCGGTCTGAAGCCCCTTTGCATTAAAAATAATAATTTGAAGAATTCCATAAAGGTCTGTGTGGGCTGATCTACTAATACTTGCTGAGCTGAAAATTAGCTGAGAAAGAAACAAGGAAACGTTTCCTCATTTGCTTGTGATGGATATGAAAGCCATCGCGTGGTACCAAGAAAACATGCATCTATTTAAAAGCATCTCTACACAATGGAGCAATTTCATATTTTCAAGAGATCTTTTAATGCCTGGTTTTGGAGACAACAGCAGGATCCTCCCCTATGCATCTGCATCTCATCCATCCCCTGGGACATTCCAAGGCCATTCTCTAGCACGTGCTGCCTGCATGCACCTTGTGAGATGTGGGAAAGAAGAAGTCCAGCAATGTCGTTGTAGAAGCGGCTTTGCACTACTAGGACCTCTGCAAGGTCTTAGCATCTTCCAGGATGTTTGCTCCTGAGTGTGGCCCCACCTTGCTGTTGAGATGACTACACACGGAGGCTATGGCAGTAGCAAGACTCACGTTGAGCTCTGGTCTCTAGGTTTTAGTATTGCTCCTGGCATGAAAGCTACAGCTCAGATCAAGTTCCCCGGGGCCAGAAGGTCCAGCTGCATCAGTGTTATCACAGCAACATAAATCCTAACTAATACAGCCTTATTAAATGAAAGTCTTGGCCTGAAGTCACCTATAAGGTATTTTTTTCCACTCATCAAGTACATGCGTAAGCTGAGAAGGAGATAGAGGGGAACACGAGACGAAGCCAGAGGGAGACAGTGGTGGCTGGATATGACCAAAATGCTCTGTACAAATATTTGACACTTCCCCATGTCCCTTGCTTTCTTATGCTTTTCTCATTTTAGTGGTACTCCTTGCTAGCACCAGCCCTGGCTACAGGATGTCTGCCATGATTCCCAGCATCACAAACATGACCACGGTTGTGTTTTACTCCTCCTGGATGTGTGTGTGTGTGTGTGTGTCCATGTGTTAATGGGCACATTCATGCATGCAAACACCTGTGCTCGTCCATGTACATGCACTCAGAGACCAGAAGTCAACCCTGGAAACTTCCCTCAGGCACTATCTACCTAGACTTTAACACAGGATCTCTCATTGACTTAAAATCTGCCAAATATCTGAGGCTGGCCAGCCAGCAAGCCCCAGGCAGTGTGGGGATCACAACTTCAGCATCTTTTTCATGGGCGCTAGGAACTTGAATCAGGTCCTTATATTTGCAAGCAAGCACTTCGTATATCCCTAGCCCCATCCCCTGGAATTTTCATAAAAACAAAGAGATGCCTCCCCATTCCTACCCTCCAAAAAGAATGGATTCTGAGTTCCCCTAAAGGTGAGGTAACCACAGATTCATTATGCAAGGCTCTGTGTGTAGGTGACTCCTCTGTCACCACACCCTAAGTGTTAGCTCCAGGCTCTGAGGAGCCTAGGCAAGGCAGGAGATCCAGTCTGCAGCTGTCTTCAGCATCCATGGAACAGTCACTGTCGCCTGCAAACAGAAATCCCAATAAAGAAATCTTAGTGTGGGGCTGGCTTGTCTGTTCATTTTTGTATTCTGCTTGTATGTGCTTTAGGCTGACTTTTCCCAACACAGCTATAAACAACCATTCTTTATTTTTTGTACAATTCAAACTGGAAATGCAGACTCCTATATCAGTGTATTTGGTGGAAACCAGGCAGTTTCAGTTAAAAAAAAAAGTAATGGCCAATAGATCCTGAGGCTTATTAGTACTTTATTGTAGGCATGATTATTCTTCCCAATTCACCCATGATCAGCTATTCAGAGGAGGTGTTCAGTCTACACTTAAAACATGGGTAGATTCCCGTCACTCACCGCACACCCACACCCCCCCCACACACACACGTACACACTGCCCTGGCAGGAAAGCCATGAACCCTCAGAAGCACAGTGGAGATATTCTGACAAGCAGAGGGAGCCTCCACCTCCCCACACAATGCCACTGCAGGAGTCTACTTCCTATTCTTCCTGAATAATTGGTCACAAAAATTATTTTATAGTTAAGATGAGCATGTCAGAGTGGCAAGCTGATATTGTGAAAGAAACACAAAGGAGAGTGAAAAGAAAGGAAGAGGAGGGTGGGGAGGAGGGAAAGAATGGGGAATGGGGAGGAGGATGATGGGGAGGAGGATGGGGAGGAGAAGGATGGGGAGGAGGAGGATGGGGAGGAGAAGGATGGGGAGGAGGAGGATGGGGAGGAGGATGGAGAGGGGGACGATGGGGAGGAGGATGATGGGGAGGAGGAGGATGGGGAGGAGGATGATGGGGAGGAGGAGGATGGGGAGGAGGAGGATGGGGAGGAGGAGGATGGGGAGGAGAAGGATGGGGAGGAGGAGGATGGGGAGGAGGATGGAGAGGGGGAGGATGGGGAGACTTGTTTTGTTCACTATATTAACTTCAGATTCCACTCATTTCCCTGCAAAAAGCACATGACTTTATTATGCTCTGTGGGCAAATAAAATCGCACATGTATTTTCTTCCCCTGATGGGCACCAAGGCAGACTGCAGGACTTGGCTGTCTTCAGTGGCCTGGCCTCGTAAAGCAGCCACACTCTTTGGACAGCTGTCCCAGATGCCTGGGCGAAGCTGATGAAGCTTGCAGAGGTGGACGCCACATGGAGTTGATGGGAACAACTTTTTCCAGAGACTGGAAACTTTCTGGCTAATTCCATTCCAGAGTCAGTCCAGGTTAAGGGACTGGGGTGGGGGGCAGGGAGGGAGGGCGGGCTGCTTGCCCCTGCAGTTGGCCAGTTTAGGAAGGACAGTAGGCATCTGGATCTTGAGTCACTGTTTTTAGACTGATGGTTGAATTTTATCTGTGGCGCCTGTGTGCCTCCGGGAGGAAACATTGCTGTGGGCCCACCTGCGATTTGTCCTTTTTGAAACTCTTGAACAGAGACAAGGTGGATGCAGGTATGGCTGCGATTTGCATTTCTTTGGTAAGAATTCCCTCTGCTTGCTCTTTATATGGCATTGTGGATTTTCCCCATTCACAGCCCAAGCTCTTTCACTTGGTGCGGCTGTGGCGGCGAACAAGGTTGCCTAGGAAGGTCACTAACACTCCATCTTCCCAATGGAATTGCAGGTGTCCTATCCTTTCTAATTTATTTCATTTCTGCTGCTTTTCATCTTCTCTGTGGTGAACATGTTGTAGTAAAAAAAAAATGTGTTATCCGTCTCTGCGACAGACGGTGTATCTGTATCCTCCAGAACTCATGCTTGAAATCTGAGCCCCCAGGGAAGGGGGAAGGCAGGAGGCACTTTGCAAAGGTGATTCTAGTGAGTGGGGAGGGGCTCTTAGCAAATGAGATGGGGAAGCTTCTCTCTGCCACAGAAGGAGGCACTGAGAAGACTGTACGCCAACCACAAAATGATTCTCTCGGACACCACATCTGCTGGTGACAGTGCCTTGGCTTCCCAGAGGGCAGAATGGAGAGGCTCTGGCTGCCTTTGCTACACAGTCAGGTCAGGGTCCTTCCTAATATTAACCTGAACTCACGGAGACAGCTTCTTTCGTAACATCACTTTCTGTTTATAATATCCTTTCCAAGCTTTTAAGAAAAAATATATATTTTTAAATTCTTCCTTTTTAAGTGAATTTTTGCTTTCTAGTTCGTAGCCCATTTTTCTTTTGCTACATTGTGCATAACGTGAATTTTAATGATTTTCTCACTATTTCCTTTTGCTACATTAAAAACTTGTTGAAATAGCTAGCTGAGGATGAGCTGTAGTCCAGCTCAAACTAATTCAGTCATTGCACAGCCCAAGTTCTGAGATGTTACCTCTTGGCACGACACATCAGACAAGGGCTTAGAGAATAATACGTGTGCCAGGGGAGCACACTCTGCCCTTGAGTGGGTCATTAATGTGAGTGACCATCTAGGCCTTGATGTCCTGCTCTGCATAATGCTACATGGTCCTTTAAAGGAACACGGTCTTCAGGACATGCAAAAGATGCCTGGGTTTGAGATGGGTTTTCTGTGCGTACAACGTGATTATCTAAGTGGTCCACAGCAAAGAATACTGAATGGGTTTGTCTACAATCATTAGTAGATGAGTCTCAGTCTGGTAAGAACGGAGGGGAGGACAGTGAAGGGGAAATTACAGACACTAGCCCATTTTCCTCTCTTGCTATCCGGATGTGAGGTGGGGCTCAAAGTGACAACCATGGGGCTATG